TCGCGTATCTCGTCGAACCAGTCAATAACGACATCGAATCCGACGTTGAACACATTGAGAGCAGCTGCGCGAGCACACGACAATCACGCGATCCCAAAACGGGCAGAATTCAATGGATATACGGTTACAATGTAATAAAAATATAGGAAAAAAAAACGATCGCGATAGAGTTTCAAAAATATTCAAAAATACGCACACTTATATATTATGTTGCTAATTATATTTGCTAATTATATTTGCGTTCAAATGTAAGCGCGTGAATGTATGCTAGAACGCGTTGGAGGGGGGAAAAAAAAATGAGACCCAGTCGAGTCTTCGTTAAGAAAAAATCGACTCCAATTAACGAGCGAATCGACAGATCCAGTTAACTCGGAATAAAAAAATGTGATTGCAAAAATTGCAATTTCTCCGCTTCGTTTCGCCTCGCCGCGTCGGTGAGTTATTAATTTAATTGAACTAATTAGTGATCCCGACGGAATCGAGCGTCAGATATTAAATGCGATCGATAACAAACATTCGTGAGTATTGATATTAGAAAATAAGCAATTGTCTATTCGCTAAATGGGAATCCCATAACAAACAATCGCATGATCAATCGGAACAAACGCACATAATTAAATTGGCAAATACCGGATAATCTAGAAACATTAACGATGTGTAGTATCATAAAATAATATAGAGGGAACTAAGATCCTCCTGTCGGGGATAAAAGCCCAAGATCCTGTTGTCGTTCACATTATTAAATCAAAACAGGTTGTTCCAGCTGAGAATTACGGCGTAAATCGTAGAAAGTTCCGCGGAAATTTCTCGATATCACTTAAGCCTTAAATAACGCAACGCCACATAATGGCGTATTTATCGAGTTTCGCTAAAGAGAAATAGATTATGAATGCGAATCCGCGTCGCCGTGCTCTCTTGGACGCGATCGGACCTGTTGTCGGTCTCGCGCTCGCAAATAAATAATGCTCTCGTCGTCTAGCAACGACCTCGCTCCTGACATCTCTCTCTCTCTTTCTCGCGCGTATCTCAATCCCGAAGGTTCCCATCGATCGTATCCGGCAAAAGAGTCGTCGCCCTCGACCCGCGACAATTACCGCGAGAAATTATCAATGATATCGCGGCCGATATGGCAGAGCGATTCCTCCGATCTTCTCGCGGACTTGATTTATTTCGATCAGTAAGGATACATATCAAGATAGATTTCCTACTATTAGATTCTTCCTAATTCTTCCTAATGTATTTCGAGAACGATGCAAGTTCGCCTCGAAGGGTTTTCGGGCTTCGAAGCAAGTTTTAAACGAGAATGAAGTCTGTTCTTTTATCGTTGCACTGGACCAGACTAAAATTTTTTTCTCACTTTCATCGAATTTCGAACATGTATCTATATCATTTTAAATACAAGCGTAAGATATGGTTCAGCTATAAGAAAACAGATCTGTGAATGTATAGATGTAATGTGACACAATTTTTTTTTGTTTTTTTCGGAATACCGCTTTCTACAATTCTCGACGCGAAATAAAACGCGTTGAAAGATTCGGTAAATAATAAATGTGGCGATTGTATTTTGTTAGGCTAATTAGGAGTTAAATCTACGAAATCAATGCTACATTACATCGCATGTTACCATTGTAGAGGCGACCCATTCCAAAGCATCGAGCTCTTCTCCGTAGCCGTGAGAACGCATAAAGCCGTCCCACGAGAACGCGTTTTGGTTTTGCGCGTATGTACAGGTCGCCGCAAACGCGTAGCCATTCAAAATTGGATCTAGGTGAAAAGGGAGCGAGTTCTCTCTCCGCGCGGTGCGCGAAATAAGCCGACGAGAGAAGAAAGGATCCAGGGGCCGGGCGAAGGAAACGAGGAGAGGAAATGGTCGAATGGAAAAAGGAGGACCGCGAGAGAAGGCGAGAACCGAAGAAGAAATTATAGGTACCCCGTGCGGCCGAACGTGCCGACCAATCGCGTGACGCGTCGAAAATACGATTCGCGCCGGAATAGTTGCCATTGGCGTTCCGCGCGGCAGCCGTACTCGACGGCGACGACATTTCGGCGGCGGTGCGCCACACGTGGCAGAATCCGCCGCGCATGCGCAGACTGCGGTTACGAAGCTCGCGAGCGGAGCGGAAGGGGCGCCCGCGCACGGTTCCGCGTGTCGGGTGCCGACGCGACGCAACGCGACGTCGAATGGCCGCGCAGGCGCGCTGCACCCGCCGGGAAGGGTGAATGCGCCTGCCGCTCTCGTCGGTCTCGCGAGAATGCGACGTTGCCGTCGCGCTGTTGCCGAATCGCACCTCGTCGGACCTCGTCGAACACCGAAGTGGCGGAGGCCGGGAGAGACTCTCCCGCCCGCGCGCTACTTGCTAACGGATTACGGTGGA